GCAGGTGGAGTTGCTCAACATAAGTACAACTCGCGATTTCCTTTTTCAGTGGTTTGGGCTTTGTCCTTCCAACTCGAATGGACCAAAACCAATGGGGACCTTAGCATCTCCACACTGCACCCCACTCTGAATCGAAATTACCCCATCCCGCACGGAGAACGCCTGCATGCTCCAGCGCTACATTCTGCATCATATGCTTTTTCGAGGGGGTGTTTTGGAATCGAGTTGGGGTACTTGTTGATGGGGTGGTTTGGCTTGGCACGGCTCGATGTGCTGCATGATTCATCCTTGAGGCTGGCTGGTGGAACAGGTAGGTGAGTCCAGTGGGCCTGGATCTCACAAGGCAGGAGAACCCTTATTTTTGAGACCCCTCGTTCAACAGAAGCAATGCAAACAGATGCATAGAATTTGGTTTGCGCGCATTGCGCCGCAGTATGGGCTTGTTGCCATGGGACTGCGCCTTTCCTATGCCACACCTGCTTGACGCTTGGATGCTCTCCATTTCCCTTGGATGGCCCCATCCACTTCCCGCTGGCCGGCGTTTCGTGAGCCAAGGCTTGTGGGTGCTTGCTCTCCTTGCCACTGCGCTGGCGAGGCACGTTGGCGTTTAGCTTGACCGCATTGGCTCTTCAGCCCCAGGAGAATCTGATCGGCATGCCGAGACATCTCAGCAAAAGGTTGGACACGTTTGGACACCCTACTTTAATCTGTATATTCAGACGCAAACCTGTGGCCTTTGCAGCAATCGAAGATTCCAGCTATCCTGAAAGATCCTGAAGCACTCCTTCGCAGGAGTCTTCCCAGCGAGGACCCGGCTGTTTGTGAGAACCGCCCCTTCGGGTTTATTGGGGGGTGGTCGAGACCCACTTGTGCTTTTGGGGCTGCCTTCCTTCTTCTAATTGCTAACGCGGGCGTTTTGTGGAGAGTCATATTTTGTGCCGTCACCTTTTGGATCCTGCACTTGTGCTCATGACAGCACCAAGGCACTCAATACTTGCAAGGTTTGGGTGAACGTTGAGTCAAGCCTTGGGTCCTTAGCATAGGACACCGTCATGCTGCATCAGGTCGCCCAAGGAGCCCCTTGAGAACCCCTCGCCTGATTGCATACTGCTCGCGTGGCCCAACATCTTCTTTCGTCTTGATTCGCCAGGCACATGCAAGGCTGCGACAGGCCCTCGCCTTGTAAGTGTCATTCGAAGGGGGGATCTGAACTTATTAATCATTTGGATGTTGTTCGCACGCGGACACCGACTTGTTAATTTGGTAGCCTTTTGGGGTAAGTCTGTTCCTTCTCAAGCAGATCGAATCACGTGAGCACGAAAGAGGGTTGCAAACTGGAAGCGGCATGTTTGTAACCTTTGCGTATATTGTTAGTACTACAAGTCAATGGCTTGTCACTTGAAGCTGGGTTTTGGCGCGCTTCGCAGTTCCAAAGTGCATAGCAGGAGCAGCAATTTGTGTCGGGAGAGGTGCGACGAGCTGAGTGGGTGGTGGGAAGAATGAGTCTGGCCAGCACTTTGCCATCAGCTGGCCGCTGTTCTGAGATGTTCGTCTTTGCTTCGGTGACAATCAACAGGAAAGCAGAGGGAAGATGAGGGAGCCACCAGTTGAGGATTCCAACCTTTCAGAAAACCGATAGTTTGTGTATGCATCTGTGTGTGTATGTGTGCATGATTGTTCCTCAGCTGCCTGCCAGGCCGACAGCCAGGTCATCCAGGTGCCACTTGATGAGAACCTAAAGGCGCGTAGCCCTGGACAGAGGCAACGCGGCGTGATGTTTAGTCTGTTTCGGTTATAGTTCCGGATGCAATGGCTGTTTTGAGCAGCTCGAAACTGACTTGTTGATCCTTCAGTTTCGGTTGAGGCTACTTTATGGTACCGTACCCAAAGTTTCACCCTTGCCTTTCTGGTTTTCCGGGCAAGTGAGCAGTTTGTCGATTCGCCATGCGATTGCTGCGGGATCATCTTAGGTCGGACAGCGCCGGCTCACTTACCAGCAGTCCAGCTACCTTTGCGTGACCTTTCCGTGGCAAAAACTAGGGAGTTTTGGTTTCCCCAGGCCCCCACATGTGCCATTCCAAGCGGACCAAGCAGATTGCACTCGTCCCTCGCTTGGCGCGATCGAAGCGCCAGGCCGACAGCCCTTGCCTCGGATCAGCGGAGCAATGTTCGCCTGTTTGCATGCTACACGGCGAGTCTTCCAGAGGCCTTTGGCTTGATGAGCGATCTTTCCCTGAGATTGGGAGAGGTGGACCGCGGCAATGGTTGTCATGTTCCTTGCATCCGGGTCGGCCAACAGCATCTGCTTGGTCAGTTTCCTGGAAGATCCTTGTCCAACTTCGAAGGTTCGCCTCAAGAATGGGAGACCACCCCTCTTAGTCGACCAGGGATTATTCCTCCTTGGTGCCCCTGGTGCCCAGAATGTCCAGGCTTCGGCCACCAGCTTCAACATGATCGACCCACCGACTTGTGAGTCTGTCTATCGGCAAGACTCTCAGGTGATTCGCTGCTTCCCCAGACAGCCAATGAGACGAATCCAGCGCGGTGCCTAGCAGCGGGTTGTTGAATGTGCTGTGGCTGCCGTCCAGGATGATTTGGGATTTTCCCATACCAGGGGTAATGGAAAAAGGACGCGGGCCACATGTGGCAAATTACAACGTGTTCATGGGTTACGCATCATAATTTCTTGCAACCTCCCCTTGCGAAGCATCCCATCGCACAGGACTTCTCAGGGCCATCTCACCAGTGGGCCAACCCTCAAAAACCAGAGAGAGGCCATTTTTTTCGCTTGGTCACTTGGTCACAAATCGCATTGGCCTGAAGAAGTTGGAGCTCGAGGTCAGCCCAGCATACAAAGACGCGATTGCCGCAGTGGCGAGGGAAGAGGCGATGAAGGAGTGGGATCAGCACGGGCACAGGGGTGGGGAGGGATGGGAGAGTCGGATGTTGGCATGTTTTGCTTGCTGCGCGATTGTTCGGACTTTCGGTGTGCGGTATTGCGTCGATGCTTGTTTGGGGAATACTGGCCGCGCACGTTGCAGAGGCAAGGGCGGAATTGCGCCGACTGGAGTTTGGATCGAAGAAGCAACACGCAGCAATTGGAAACGGTGTGGCTTGACTGCAACAATAAAGGGACCTAAAGGATGGAGGAACAACTGGTTTGCCCTCCCTATGCTGTGAGCCACAAGCTTAGCAAGATGATGCTCTCTACAAAGTGCGTTCACAGTCACTTCCTTTTGGAACATGACCGCCGTTGTGGAAAACAGTATGTGAATCAGCTCTTGTTTGTTGTTTGCGGAGCTTTATGTTCGCCTGGGGAGGGCAAGCGCATGGCGAACTGGGCCTTAGTTGATCGAGTCCCATTGCCCAACTTTTTGGTTTGTCACATTTCTTTGTACACATGCTCGCTGCACGTGCTGAGACGACTCCAGCTGGGATTGGTCTACTTTCGAGAACTTTGTTCCCCATTCTGAATGGTGGAGTGGCTGGCTGAATGTTGACCAAGCACACACACCCTAAGAAGCCCTGGAAGTATGATTCCCCTGCAACTACCAACAAACGATATGGTTTCCCATGCTTCAAAGTAGTACAGGATTTCGTCCATACACCCTGTGCACCATGCCTGCGACTGAAGACACGTCAAGGAGCAGCAGTCTGTTCTCGAGACGCTGCAGGCGGCACGCCTTGCTTCGAGCTCAGTTCGAGATGCGAGATGACGGCCGCCGATGGCAGTCCAGAGAAGCATTGACAAATTGAACTTTGAGCTCCTTAACACACACCTCTGATGAAAATAGCAGATGCTATGAATCGGACTCTCTCTGAAATGTTCTTTAGTCTTGAAGATGGGAGTGTTGGGGCCGGCTGGGACTAGCCTTTTGATTGGGACAGAATCCTCATTTGGTCCAACTCATTTCAGGGGCCATGTCCAACCATTTGGTCAGAAGACCTGCCGAGAAAGCCGGAACGCGATCCCTATTAAGGGACGAAGCCGAAAGGATGCCCCGGCAAAGAGATATCCACGAGCCACGTGAGTTTCCGCAATGGCCCTGGTACATGTCCACATGTTTGTTTGTTTGTTTGTTTGTTTGTTTGTTTGTTTGTTTGTTTGTTTGTTTGTTTGTTTGTTTTGGTTGGGATGTTGAGACGCTTTCATATCACTTTTGACTAGAAATGCAAACCGCCAAAGTGACCAGTGATTCGCTTCAGAACCACTGGCCATAACGACGGACCCCGCGCTGAGGCGAAGACTCGTGCGAAGAAAGGCCTCAAGCTGCAGGCCCTGACAGAACTGGGAAGACCTCCAAGGTTCCACTCTTGAAATCCGTTGCGCTTTGGTTGGTTTTTCGCAAGCCATCCAACAGGGATCTAATCCTTGTTGAATGGTTGCTGCTGACACACCATTTTTTGTTTTTGGGGCCTGCTCCCCTACAGAGAATCATTGGCATTCATATTCGTCGATTTTGGCTCAAGGCCTGTGTTTTGCATCATAGCTGCTACTCGCAGGTCCCAACATTGGTTTTGGTCACCAAGAGTGGACTTCGCCATAAATGGATCGATTTCTTCGTCAGCTTTTCCAACTAAAGATGGGATCAACCACCCGAAGGGGTGTAATAAGGACTTGCTTGTCCGAGAGTGGCGGCTTTGGGTTCCTTGTGTCCGCTTCAGGCCCTGAAGACTGAAGATGACGTCAGCTCCAAGACTGAAGATGAGGCCGAGCAATGCTTTCTGCCTCCCTTTTGGCCTTGGACCGTTTCGCGCGGAAAGGCAGCGGGAGTTAGAAGGCTCCTCCCTTTCGTGGTCACCACGCCAAAGGTGTGTCATGTCACATGTCAAAGGGTCTTGTTCGTCTCCCTCAAAGCGGTGCTTCTTTTGGGTTTCGCGCTGGTTTTTGAGGTTTGCGGAATGGCCGGACTTCGGGACGCTGGAGCCATTGGTCTTGAACCAGATTGAAAAATCATGAACACGGGGTGTAGAAGGAAGAGGGGCCATTTTGAAGCCGCAGCCCTTGGGCCCCAGTTGGGCTTCGGGCCTCGGGGGCCGCCATGGCAGGGAGGCAAGGGGCCACTTTGCCGTTGTCGATGCAGCAGGGTTTCGTTTGTTCCTGTCAAGATGGCTCAAGATGTTCCAATGAATGCAACCCAGGCAATTCGGCCATTAGTGCTCACCTTGACGGACGAGGATGGATATTGCTTTTTGGTTGAGCTGTTTGATAGGTCAACCAAATGGAAACAATGTATTTTGGGGGGGTTCCCTGTATACCCAGGTCTTCCCAAAGACAGTTGCAAGGAGTCTCTAAGCCTCTTCAATGGAAGCGATGCTTGGGCAGGGTTTCTATTCTTTCTTGGGCCTTGTGTAAAGGCTGTCAAGGGTGTAGTTTGACTTCCCACCTGTCTTGCCGGGGTGTTTTTATTTTCAGAGAATCGCTGAGGTGTCCCACAAGAACAAGTGAAACGCATAGGGGAGATCAACCTCTGGACACGTGAAGCTTCCCCCTATTCCAGAATTCCAACGTACGCGTTCCTTGCAGCCTTCAATCTACCTGACTTTGCTTTGCAAGGGCACCATCAAGCCGCGGAGTTGGTTTTTTGTTGGGCAACATCCCTTCTTGCTCCGGGATTGGTCTTTTTTGTTGTCCACCCTTCCCAGATTTTCTGTCTAGCTCCACAAAGCGTCCTTAACAAAAGGGCTTGGTCTCGAAATAGCACAACCCCCTTGGCCAAAAAAAGGCAAGTCTACGGATGCGTTTCCCCGCAAGAATCCACCCATGCGTAGGCCATGCCTACAGCAGCCCCTCCCTTGGGCCGGCTTTCAGCCACCTCGGGCCCCAAAGCGGAGCAGCGCTTCTCCAGCCTCGCGCAGAAGGCGTGCCATCGTGCCCGGGGTCCGGTGTGGCTGTCTCGGTTTTCCTGTCCCGAAACGAGGGACGCAAGACAAACAATGACAAACTCGTTGCCAGACTTGGCTTACCGGTTGAAAGCTGGGGTTGCCCAGGTTGCTCCAGAGTGGCTGAAAGCGAATCCGGGTCAGGGTTCCGGAAGGGTTTCGGAGGGTCCCGTTGGGGATAACATCTGGGCTTGTTATTTGTTCTTTTATTTTGTCGTTGTTCCTTCATTTGCCATACTTGGCCTTCGGCACGGGGTCTGAGTTTGGCCCAGAAAATGGGCACTTGCTGTCAGGCTGTTGCAGGATGCTTCCAAACCCCATCGACAACTTTCCTTGGGTGCCTCCAACATCGGGGAATCCTCTACAAGGCTGGTGTTATTTTAGCCCCCACCTTTAAACCATCTAAATTGGTGAATCCACCTGGTGGACATGATAGACCAGAGTGCAGTAGCCGAGGCCAACAGAACCAAACGAATTTTGCGAAGAATCGCTTGGTTCAGTCGCCAGCCTTCTTGGGATTGTTGGATTGTTGAAAGGTGTTTCTAAGGTTTGAAAGAGAAAGATTTGAAAGACAGCTTGAAACAAAACACCAAAAGAGAAAGATGTTTTGGGAAGGAAGAGGGAGGAACACAAAGCGGACAAAATGGACACGATGGAAGGCTGCAATGAGAGCACCTCTGGGCCCAGGCCTGGCTGACTCGGAAGATCTCGGTGCTGCTGCCCACGGCTGGCCTGGACCAGGCGGGTGCTTCCATTCACCGTGGGGGACTAAGGGAGACCAAGGAACCCTTTCAAGACATGGAACGTGTTTGCTGACCCATGGTACTTGGGATCTGGGCTGGGTGTTGGCTGGGGTTCAGGACGTCTTTATGTGAACCATTGAAGGCCTGAGTGGTTTTGAAGCGCTGAGATGCTAGAAAACACCGCGCCTGCATTGGCCGGACATCTGCTTTCACAATCACGAGCAGCAAGATCAGCAAGTAGCAGGTAGATTTCGCTGCTTTCTAGAAAATAATTCCGAAGCAGGCAGCCAGTTTGCAGCTGGCCGGGTTCAAAATAAATCGTTAATCCTCATACTAGTACTTGCTTCTTGTAGTGGTGACCCACAATTTATGAATCGGGAGTAGGGTTGCCCCTCATTTTTGAATATGGCGGTGTCTATCCATACTCTTCAGCTTAGCGGCTTTTAAAAGGTCCCACCAAAGCTACGTGAACAACCCAGCCTTGTGATGTCAGGAACTGCTCGTTGCTAAGCTCCAGCAGCAGCGCCACCACTACGTCTTGGAGGCCTCCGATCTCGAGATTGGGTCGGAAATCATTGGCTCACTCCAAACGAGCATATCTCAAAATTAGGAAGCCGCCCACCCCTCCAAAAAACACAAAACAAAGCAGAGCTGGTTTCCATTCCAGCTCTCCCTGTTGCAAACCGCAAAGAGAGGTGTACCAAAGTTCAAAGCGCACCCACATCAGGTTTCAATCAACAACTTTTGAGGGAGCCCGGCGGAGAAGACTGTCGGAAGGAGGTTCAGACAGCCGAAGCTTCCTCGGGACTGGGGAGGGCCCGAAGCAAGCCGAAGCCTGTCGTTTCGGTGTTGAAGCCTTCTCTCAGAAGGGTGCCTTGCAATCCCTGAAGCAGAGTGAAGAGGTATCCCACTTCTTCGAAGGACAAGTGTAGCGTACATCTCTTTATAGGTACACACACACACGGACATAGATAATTATGTATATATGTATATATAGGGAAATCTAAGGAACCCTGGTTGGTTTCCAACAAGTCCCACCCAAAAAGCACATGTTTCGCGTTTCAGTGAATGGAAGTCTTCCAACCCCTTTGTGCACTTCTACGATTCATGGAAGGAGGGCATTTTCCTGTTCGCCTATCGTCCGTGCGTCGCTCGCTTCCTTTTTTGTCACGGGAACGCAGGATGTGCCGCTGGAGTCGCTGGGGGAGCCCTCCTTCGTCGCGGCTTTGGAGGAACGCCAGATCGCATGCCTCAGCCGCGGCGCGCGAGGCGCCGAAGCTCCCCCCTATGGATCGGCCAACTTGCGGGGTGGGTGTGGGTCCCCAATTGGGTTTTTCTATAGAATTTTCCTCACTGTGGTCTTCGCTTTGTGGACTTGGCATGTGTTGGGAAGACGATTTAGGAAACTGAAAGTTTGGAGCTGTCTGAGGCCAAGCAGAAAGAGCTGAAACACATCTAAAGGACAGAACCAGTAGGGGTGGGATTTCCGACAGGGTTTGTTCTTACACATAGGTGCGCGTTAGAGTTCTGAATGACCATTTGGGCAGTGATTGGCGTCGCCTTTGCGGCAGTTTGAAGAGTGTTCTCTAAAGGAACCCAGACAGGGAGCTCCCCGATTTTGTGGCTTCTGCATGGGTTCCACTGGAATTCGGCGGCCTGTTTTTCGTGGGGAGAAGGTTGCTTCCATTCATGCAAAAGGAGAGGCCAGTGCCATCTTCGTTTTTTTTCATCTCCAGGTCCCCATTGAAAACTCCGCCAGGCCTGGATAGTGGGGACGTGCTGGCGCTCTGGCCCTCGCCCCCGCGCCTGGGGGCGGCGTTGTCCACTTGCAGCTTCCAACGGCTGGGCCTTGAGGAGCCTTTGCCAGGCGAGGGCTCCAATGTTTCGTGTCGCAACAGATGACGCCACGGCCCCGTGTTCAACGCAGCTGCTGCAACGCACAAGAAATCCTCAAATTAAGTTCACATGAAGCGCATGCGCCAACAGGCGTGTTTTTCTCCCCCTTGGATGACCTCTGAGCTGGCCGCTTTCTCTCTTGATTGCTTTTCAGCTCTTGGCCATTTCCTGGTTCCCCTTTTGGCATGGGAGGTGCCGGCAAGCTGGAGCAGAAGTTCCTGCCCTGCGGCCAGCGCCACGTCTTTGTGGACCTGCCCGTGTCCAAAACCAGGCGAAAAAGCTCGGGCCAATTTGGCCCCATGGAAGGCCTTGGGGTACCCATGGGGGCACTTGCCAAGTAGATCCCTACACCTGGAGTCTCCATGACCCTTAAAAAATGGGGTCCTTACCCTAAATAATGGGGTCATGGAAGGGGTCATGGACACTCCTGGCATTCGTTTCTCCAACCCTTCCTTCACCCTGCGCTCGCAAGTCGCCAGGGCGAAGCGTGCAGCGAAGCTGGCCCAAGTTCCCCGCAGCCGCTGGCAGGAACTGGTGGAACCTCTGCAAGAGACGGCCTCATTTATGGCCCCTCGGCAGGGGCCAAGGCTGGACACAGGAGCCCGGTAGTTGGGCATATGTTCGAAGCCCTCCAAACGGAAACCAACAAAGATTCTCCCTAGTGTGGAAAAACATTTGTATGATCCAGGGTTGTTCTTGCTAGGCTGTCTTATTGGCGGAATGTTTGGCTCCCCAGCCTCAAGAAGTCTAGGAGTGTTCTTGGAGTGCCCTAATTCTTGTGGGCGGTCGCCCATGTCATTTCGCTTCAAAGCCGCCGAAGTGGTCGCGTTGCACAATTGCGAGGCCTACTGCGGCAAGGAAGCTGATGCGCCCTATGACTTCGCCCCGCTGAAGTCTGCAACTTCCAGCATCCAGTGCATGGAGGCCGCACGCGCAGATCATTCGGTTTTTCGCTTTTCGGTGTTGCGAGCTTTCGACCGGAAAAGGCGCAGGTGCCCAGATACGTTCCTCATCTACATCCACACCAACAGATGTAATGAGTTATTGAACGTCATTCACACTAGGTTGATCATTGCCAGAGAAACGTACCATTTTGCACTCTGCACCCAAGTACTTTGCGTTTCACTGGGCCGTTTTCCCAGCTGGCACCCCCTGAGGTGCCCATCCAGTGCCGCGGCATCAGCCTTGGCGCAGATGCACGGAGGCGTCGATGGGGTGGCCTGGGGCTTGCTTTGAGAGCACGGGGTTAACGGAAACTTGGAAAACATTAGAGAGGTTTCCATAGGTGTCCCTTTTAGGTTAGTTTGGTCAAAAATAGCAAGCACTGGTTTAGATGGGTTGCATTCCATCTACCAGGGCCATCTATTTTTCCAAAAGGACACATGGGTTTGAAGGGAAACTGTTGAAAGCACGTGAAGGTTGTTTTGAAGGGAAGCTCAAAGCAAGCCGGCCATTTTGAGGATGCGGACAAGCCCACCTAGGACACAAAGTGTTAGTGCGGGCCAGCGCCAGCCAGAAATAGGCGCGGAGATCCACCCTGTTGGGTCTTACCGTCTTGGCATGGTTCTGCTTCAATAGCAAGTTTAATTGTGACTCTGATGGGCACGTAGTATAAGATGGAGTCGCGGGCGGATTTTGTCGTGACCGTGTTGGTGGGCCCCACACAACGAAGTGACAATCACCGACGGTGAAACGGAACTTGTTTGTCAATCACAGAAAAGCGTCTGGGAGCCTGAGTAGTTTCAGACAGGTTCGACATAGACTTTGTTCTGATAAACCCAAACAAAGGCGCAGGGTTCATAGTTATGCCCCAAGAGATTCCCAATTAAAGATACTTAAGGGTGTCCGGGCAGCGAGGCCATGCTTCAACTTGGGGCATTCCCCCCCCCCCACCCCGAAGAAGTCCCATTTCGAACCCACCAAGATTCCTGCCACTCTTGTCACGAATCTGCGCATGGTCGGATCTCGCCGTTTTCCGAGTTTGTCTTGCAAGTTTTTCCGACTTCGGCCAATTGTTCATTTGTTTGCAGCCATATTTTCCGCATTTTTCCGCATTTGTCCGCCCAGTTTTTCCAGAATGTTGTTCCGACTCCGCCCAGTTTCGCCGAGTGTCTCCGCGCAGTTTTGCCGGGTCTTTTCGCGCAGTTTTTCCAAGTTTGCCCCTTCCAGTCCTTCCCAGTTTTTCCCGCTCTTCCGCCTAGTCTTTCCGAGTTTTTCCTGCCATAGGTTTGGACGTTGTTTCGTTCAAGATTGCGACCCAGTGTATCTGCAGACTTCGACCCTCACATACCCGTATCTGACCGGTTCGGCATGGCCCCCTACAAACGCTGAAGCCCGCTGGCGGCCTCCAGATGGCATTTGCATGTGATTGGCCCTGCCATCTGTACCTGACTGGCCCTGGGAGCTGCTGGCTTTCAGGCAGATGTTCGAGAAATCCAACAACCCCATCTGATTGGTGGGGAAAAACAACTTTTAAAAGGTCTGGGGGTCGGGCGCCCAAGCCTTTAAATGCCTTTAAAGTGGGCATCCCGCGCAAGCTGCCTGCATACACCTTTCAGGGGAATGCGCTTTTTATCAGCCTCAGTTACGCCAAAGAACCTGTAGGCCCAATCGGATAAAATGCTAAGCTTTAGAAGTTGAAGATTTGTGGCTCGATCCCGCCTTCTGACAGCATGGCTATTTTCCATGTTTTGCTATGATGTGTTAAATGCTGTTTCCCTTTTTTCCCGTAACCCACCATTGCACCATGACTTTCCTGGTAAGGTCCCAACGTTTTCACTCACGTTTTGTTGGTTTCCCTGGTTTTTCATGGGTTTTCCGTAGTTTTTCATGGGTTTCCCTTAGTTGTTCATGGGTTTCCCTTGGTTTTTCATGGGTTTCCCTTGGTTTTTCATTGGTTTGGTGTTCCATTGTCTCTTCGGACTTGGCCCCGCACTCAGACCCGGATTTTCGCATACCCGGACCTCCCCACGTTGCTTCAGGCCTGGCTTTCAGCAGCTTGTGGAGCCCTGGCGCTGGAGTGACGCCAAGGTGGCGACTTTTGGGTTTGGGGGGGTTGGGAGTGGACAAGCGGTCACTCTTGGGTACCTCTTGATGGAATCCAACAGGGTGCTTGGGTTTTGGATGCCCTATCTTGCAAGCACCCTTCTGGGAAATGGTTTTCAACTCGAATAGGGTGAGGCCCGTGTTTCAGTGGCGCTGTTTCCCTTTGCGCCCTTCTTTGCGCAAAGAGCAAGGGAAAACATGCCTCTCACTGGGAGAATGATCTGAAGAAATGCATTCGAAATGGAAATGGTTCCGTTTCCGCAAACAGTTTGCTAGTCTGTCCTGGGCACTGGCCAATTTGAACGTGGGGAATGCTGAAGAGAATGTGTGTTTGTGCTTACCCCGGCGTAGGGTGAAGGTTCAGAGGGACAAAAACAGCAGCGCCGGGCAAGTTTGCCAAGACGGGCGCCACCGGCCACTTCGCCGCCTTCGGCCAGGGCGGCTTGGGCAACGCCTTTGGCCGCGCCTGCGAGGATTTCCTGGACTGGGTGGGGGCTCTGCATTTAGGCTTGCCCTACGAAGAAGCCGGCGATCTTTGGGAGGCGCGGTTTCCTGTGGCTGGGGTCATGCGCTTTGAGGGGGCCAAACAATGCGCGTTTCGTTTTTGGCTTTGTTCTTTTTCTGTGTCGAATTGGGATAAGCATCACATTTAACATTGTGTGATTTATACAAACTTCCTTCTCTTGCTTCTGGGAACTCGGTCTGTTTTAAAGTGGCACTTGCTGCAGCTATCTACACACACATATATGTATATATATATATATATTTGTACATTGATGAGTGTATTTCTATAGATGTTAACTACGCATCCATATGCATATGCATGTGTATACGATATATATATATATATACATACATACACACACACATATATATATATATACATCTGTCATGTGTAAATATGATATGTATATATAATTATGTGTCGACATGCGTATCTGTATATATGTGTATATACATGGCCATATTTGCTAAGGAGGTTGCAAGGATACGTACTAGGCGCACGTCTGGGCCATAAGACGCATCAACTTGAATAAACCCGTTGCATGAGTAGGAAGGTGCCATTTGGTTTGGGTGATGCACCAGGCACCATGAGATGCGGGGCTTCCAATTTTCCAGGGTTAAGACGTGACCTCAGAATAGGGTTTGTATATTGTGTTTTTGTTTCTCCGAGGGCGTTGGACACCTGTCAGAGACTCGCTGCGCGTTCCAAACACTTTCTCCGGTACCTTGAGGCAACTGAAGACACGGCAATCAGCGAGGAGGCGTGGTGGCAAATTCAGCTCGACTTCTTAGAGCACTAAACATCCTCACAGAATAGTGGCTGCCAACCCCCGAGCTTGGCTGGCTTATGTATGTTTGCGACACTGGTGCAGTTGCGTTTGGACATGTTGCTGCACAGGTGGTTTCCTAAATGGTGCACTGTTTGGGACCCCCATTGAAGATGGCGCAGAGCAAGCACGCTCCGCATGGCAGATTTTGCCTTCAGCTAGCTTCGCAGGCTCTTCTGTCAGGTATTTATTGTGCTGCTGCGATGCGCTTATGTCTGCACATCTCATTGTGTGCAGACGCGGTTGTTCTGCTGCCCTTTGTGTGAAACTACCAGGAGCCTCAGAACTTCCCAGAAAACTCGGACTGATGGGATCCTGGGCGTCAGTTTGGTTCAAACCTAGTTTTGCCAAAACCAGGGACGTGCTCAAAGGCAAAAGGGCCCGCTTGCCATGTTTTCCCAAGGGGGGACCAACCACACGGAAAGTCAGCTATGCCAACCCTCCATTGGGAGCAGACCAGACTGCAGAACCCCAAGGACCCAACATACCGAGGATTCGTGGTCTGGGGCTTGTGCTTGTTCATTGATCCGAGGTGATGCTCTGGACCATGGGGGAGAGCTTAATGGGCCCCAGGCAGATCCTTGCCTGGACACACCTCATGCAGGGACCGGGAATAACTGTTGTGTAAATGAAAGACATGTACATGGTTTTATACTACTTACGCGTCCTGATGTGTTTTTGGTTGTGTCCTTCTGGCATGTACTGGAAACCAATCAAACACTGAGTTGTTGTTTGTTTGTTGGCATTGTTCATCATGTTGTGTTGTTTTGGTTGGGATTGCTCCCTTTTGTTTTGCTGGAGATGTGGCCATATAGGCACACGCTCTGCTTCGATGTGCGTCGACACCTTTGCTGAACACGCGCAGTCAAGACTGAGAGAAATGTATTACCAAATAGGGCTTTGGCAAAAATATATTAGAGTTTAAATAAAATTTAATTAGGACAGGGTTGAATTAGAAGGTTGATAGCGGAATTCAGCAGCTGGCTTTAAATTCCAGGCTCCTTACAAGGCGTGCTTCTTCTAAGGCTCCTTGTAAAGCTGTTTACGAGGCTCCTTCCAAAGCTCATTGTACAGCTATAAAGCTCCTTTAAAGATCCTTTCAAGGATCCTTACTCCTGTCCAAACATGAGTTATGTATTTTGCTTTCGTAACGCTTAATGGGGGAATAATGTTATCGGAACTTCCAGTGTAACTTTGAGTTTGAATACGATGTCCTCCTTCTTCCAAATGGGTTTCGATTCAATTTGACTAGAGAATGAGTTGATGTTTTTTGATAACGACGGACTCTTGTTAGAAGTTCTATTTTGAAACTAGAACGGGGGCGATTGAAACTTGCAGATGGGACACCAAATAAGAAGGAATGACATGGAAAAAATGTAGTTCATGGGAGAGCATACGCATGCATACAGAATCAAGTACACACACATACATGCATGTATGCATACACAGGCAACCGTGGCTGTTGGTTCTGTGTTGTTCTTTGGCTGGCTTTGTTGGTCTGCTGCTCGACCCTAAGCCTTTCGCTGACATGAGGTGCTGCCTTGTCGGGCACCCTGATGATTGCTACATGGCCAAAGCCCCTCCAAGACGTTTTGAGAGCTTCTTAAAGCCCATCCCGGGAAACATGCTTGTGTAGGTTGCACTTAGCAGGCAACGCATCCAGCTTATGATGCGTTTGGCCATTGTGTTGGATTGAGACACGTGAACCTATGTCCATGAGCCCGAGGTGGTATCAACTATGGAATAAACAATGATTTTCTGTATGTTGACTTGTCAGGCACTCGATCACGTAGTGCGGCTAAGGATTGCGCACGCCTTGCAAGTCTGCCAAAGCACGCTGGGGCCCGACGCCGCAACCTGCCAGAAGATGCGTTTGTTCGTTGTTCGTTGCACAGCTTCCTGAAAGGATGCGTTGTTTCAATCCCTAATCCTCGTGCAACATGGTGCTGGCGTTACTTGTTGTGGCGGTGTCCCGCCACGGATCATGGATTGGGATTGGGGGTCCCCCCGGTTTTAGAAATACAGGTTGTGCTTAGCGGATTTATGTTGGCAAGCTTCTTGCGACCAAGGGGGGGGCAGAAGCCATGCCACCGAGGTGCTAGGATCATTGTGAACCAAACTCCGCTAAAGTAGAAACGTAGCAAGGCACAAGATGCCAGGATTTTGCATGGGGCTGCCGAATTGGCCAGATTTCGCCCATCCAAAGCAACATTGACAAGGGGTTCGGTGGCGGCTGCACACAAGCTTCATGGTGAAGCCAGTTCTGGCAAGTCTGTCTGAAAGATCAAAGCATCGGCTTGCATGAAACTGCGGCATGACCTCAGGAACAAGGCAAGTGCATCTCTATTGCAACTGGCATGCGAAGCGAAGGTCAGCATTTCAAGAAGCCAGCAATTTGTTACAACATCAACTTGTGGCATTGCCAGGAACTTTCAGGCCAGATTCCGTTGCAATCTTGGTAACTTGAAAACGTTTGCCCCTGGCGGCCGAACTTGAACAGGCCCGCCTTTGCACTGGTTCATGTTTGGGCAGCTTGCGGGTGCGGCTTTGTTTGTCAAGCAGTATTTGCAAGGGCTTTCATACAATCGGCTCATTCGGAGATACATCATTATCTGATCCGAAGGACAATCCAATAATGGCCAGCATGGCCAGCATGGGCAGCATGCGGCTTCCTGAAATGCGCATGTCCTCGAATTGGTCACCCACCAATTTGTGGTTTCCAGTGGGATTTTTTTCTTCCCGCTCCTTTTGAGGCAGGTTCATATCTAAATGGCTGCGTGTCCAAAAAGTCTGATCCTCAATGGTTGGTTCCTTGTTTCATGGCCTCCGCCTGAGGCTGGCTGGTTCTTGCTGTCCGTTTGGGGCGCGGAGGATGGGCCCATCTCTCACCACGGGGGCGCGCATAGTTTCGACCTCACGGGCGCCTGTCACGCGCACTTGCTCCAAGTCTCCGGCAAAAGCTTACTGCCCCTCGGAGGCAGCGAAGGTCCACCAGAGCCTCGCTTCGGCTTTTCCAGGGCGGGCGTATACGAATACGCTTAAAGGGCATGGTCCACATGTGATGCCTGGGTCGCTCTGTCGGAAACGGGCGCTGTCACTGGGGGAAATTTATGTTGACCGCAGCTCAAGTGGGCCATGCCTGTAGCTCAACGGGCGGGCAAACAGGCAGCCAAGATGGCACAGCTTCGCCGGCGCTTTTTCATCGCTTCTCACCTGTTCATGATGACTGTTCATGGCCAGACTTGGGATTTCCCACCGCATGTTTGTATTGACAAGCCGAGAAGTCTTGTTTTCTGAATAAAACATGCATTAAACCCTGGCTGAGTAAAAGGGCGTTCCCCCAGTTTACAGGGGGCCTTCGTTTTGGGACAACACACTCGTAGTTTGGAATAATTGTTGCTCTAGGGCTACCAGGCCGAACCACCACTTGTATGCAAAAGGGGGAAATCACTGGGTATGCAACTACGAGTCCAGGTCGACCGCAATCAATCTGGGGTCTTGGTCCCTTCCGGTTTGGTGCCGCACGCCCCGAGCCTAGGCTGGAAGCGGCCAACGCCCTGCATTCCAATGCCTAAGCCGTTAGCGCAGCTTGTTGGGAAGGAGGTGGCGCAGGCGACGTTGACTTCCTGCGAGCCCGACGCCCTAGAGAATCTGAGCGGCGCACCCTGCAGAGTCTAGTGAAGCCACTTCCCGGGGTGTTTGCTCGCCAATGTCGCGCTGCGCACGCGGAGAACCAAACAGTGGAAGCGTGTCGGCCCAAGCGTGAGCTGTCGGATGACAGTTGATCTCGGCTTGCTTGCCGTGTTGAGCAGTTTTGGAGACGCCACAGGCCCCCACATTGTGTTGCCCGCATCGTTGATGATCGGGAAAGCCGGCACTGCGACTTCTTGGTTTCACTGTCCAACCTCATCAAAATCTTCTCGTGGCGTGTGGTAGGTCTCTTGGGAGGCGGCAGTTGGAAACCCCCACTCCAGACTTGACCCCCACTCTAGGACCCCGGCCAGGAGACAGATCTGGAGGTGGAAGCGCGAGCGCTGCAGACGAAGCTGGAGGAGGCAGAATGTGGAAAATGCTACGTTGGAGGTTGCGGGTGGCTTTTTACCCCGTTTTTGAGACTCTGGTTCCATGTCGACCGCGATGCCCAAAGGGACTCAAGCTGACAGGTTGCCAGGTTTCTGTTTAGTGTGGTTTGAGCTTCCAAATTCGGGGCTCCCCGATTTGAGGTCCTGGCAATTGTTTAGCACGCCTCCTGCGATTGAGGCCAGAACAAATCTTCTGTCCCTATCAAGGGAAGCCAAGTGAGCGACCGCGCGACTGGGCTGCTTGCGACTGAGCGTACGGTCATTGCAAAGCGAAAAAGGGCCCGGAATCGGACAACCTGAATCCAAGGCCGAATCCTTCTAAGCAAGCGGGATTGTTTACATCTGATGCAACAGCTTGACTGCGGAGCGGCTTCAGCTTTCCAATTGCAGCTTGGGCCAGTGGTTGCCCTGAAGCTTGGCCCAGGCAAAGTGCAGCACTTTGTTCTTCGTCATTTATTGAAGCGAGGCATGGGTTGGACAGTCAACCCAGGCTCCTTGCATCGCGGTGCTTTGAACACTACATGCGCTGCTAAACTATGGAGTATGGGCACTTGTTGCCTGTCTTCGCTGTACGGCTTGAGCTTTGGGTTCCCCATGCTTAAAGCTGGATGTATAAAGAGCGGCAGTTCGGATGGAGCAACTTGTGGCATGTCCGGCTCGAGCTTCGGGTGCATTTACCTCGGCACCCTTCCGCCAAGCGGCGCCCCCATTGAAGGTGACCGGCTCAGCACGGCCGCAGGGAAGTGCAGAGTGAGGCCGTCGTCTAGTCACGCCCGAACTGATGAATAAGGGGGTGCACAGGCACTTTTCACTTTCTCTAATTGCAAGTTTTACTCGGGGGGTGGCGCTTTTTTCCCAGAGGATTGGATTTCAGCTGTATCTCTGAGGTTGGGCACTTTTGGATCTGGGATGGGAATGCCGAGGGGTTCGAAGGTGTCCCAACCCGGCGAAAGGTCAAGGGAGACACTGGGGTGGGTGCGCACACTGAACTTGCGCAGCTTGAGGTGGGACAATGAAGTGGCAGGCCTTGCTGCCCCTCTGTCTTGTGAGCTCTGCTGTGGAGCTGAAGAACAGGAGTGAGTTCGGAGCTGTTCTTCTCTTTCGGAGCTGCCACACCCTCTGGGACGGATTTTAGTTCCACAGCATTTTCTTGTTGGTTGCTTGCTCCAGTTCTTACCTGCGATTCACCAGGCTGCAAACAGACCTGCTTTCCACAAGCAAAATGAAAGAAGCTTGACAACAAGTTTCCAGCTGCCAAGTTCCAAGTTCCAAACTGCAGGACGGAACCTGGCGCCGGTGCATGGAAGCAGTTCAAGGATCCCTCCGGGCGGATTTTCCGCCTCAACCTGCAGACCGGCGCCACTGAGTGGGGCGCCAGCACCACTGCGGCGCCTGTGGCGCCTGCGGCGCCTGTGGCGCCTGCGGCGCCTGCGGCGCGCGTGGCCGAAGCCTCTGCGGAGGCGAAGAAATTTGTGGCAAGGCAACTTGCCCGCAGCGAGTCGAGCTGTTGACCTCGTTCTCCTTGGGTTTTGGTGACCCTGGGTCCTCCCCCACAAAAATACCATAACAAACAAATGATCACTGGTTGTTTCCGGGTCCTTTGGTTGCAAGCGAGGCAGGCGAGACCGAAGGTCCAAGCGCAAACTTCGCACCTCGCAAAGCCCAAGCCTCGTGATGGCCGCGGCTTGTTGGACGATTGGCTGGGCTGGGGGGAGGCAGCCTCAGACCCCGTGGCCCAGGAGGTGCGACAGGACGGTCCGGATGAATTTCCCTTGGGTTTGGGTTTGGGCTGGGGTAAGCCCCTTTTGGCATGGCCAGTCATGTTCGGGGACTTGGGGAACGCAGGACCTGGCAGCAGACCTCTGGCTGGAGCCGCACGTGCAAGCGGAGTCGGCACGTGGGCAAGTGAAGGCCAATGCGACGGCCAGCAGCGCACAAGCACTCGGCAAGGCCGGGGAAACATGGGCTCCCCCCCCGTTTGACACATACCCACATGGGCCAACGGAGGACATTCATCAAAACCAGAGAAACTGGAATGCAGCTGTGAAACCCAGAAGTGGCCGGGGGCGATGATGTCTCGACCCGAGCTTCCTTTTCTAAGCGGGTGGTCTCAGCTGGTCTTCAGCATTCTTGCAACAAGCCTTGCATGCAGATATGTGGAGGGTGCACCTGACAAGCAGCTCCAAGGGTCTCCATCCAGGGTAGTTTGGTTGCAGTTTGTTTCTACGGCTATCATTTGTTTGGGCCGTCGATTTCAAAAAGGACACCTAGACGGACAAGTCGTACAATTTCCAGCTGTCCATTGCCACGTTTTCCGTGGGACTTCGCAGGCCAACCTTCATGCCGGCCAGCTGCCAAGAGGTGCTTCCGTTCGGCATGAAGTTTGGCGCTACGGTTAGTTGCTCAAGCGCTACGGTTCGGCGCTCACAACGGTTACCATTGCTTCTTTTTCGGCGCTACGGTTCGGCGCGGTGCGAAGCGTCGCGACGCAATGGTTAGTTTCTCAAGTTCGGGGCTCCAGTTCTGAATCTGGGCTTAAGGAATGATCAGAACGTGATTGCTGGTGTTTTCAGGGATGTGCTTCTCTACTTGACCTGCTGTTGGTCGACCTCGCTGACTCACACAATGCGAATCGCTGTAGGTAACCCATCCAGAGCCGAATGGGGTCCCCGAGTGTGACACCGCACGCCAATCGGCTCCCTCTGTGCAGGTGAGGCAAAGACGCCCAAGGTGGACGCTGATGCGGCCGCTATGGCCAGATCCATGCGGAATCTCGCGTGGGCCCAGGCAGGGTTGGGCAAACCAACTGCTTCCAGGGGCAGAGGGGCGAGGACTCCCTTTGACCTATGCTGAAGGGGTGACTTTGATAGCAAAGTAGAGGGTCCCCTCTTGGATTGGGGTCTCACGGTCTGGTGCTGAGGGCTTGGGCCCCTCGAAGCAAACACTCAAAGTTCGCAAACTTCTCATTTGGGACCCTGTAGTTTCCCTTCAAGCCAAAGTTTGGAGGGTGAGTTTGATGACATCAGTCCAGAACAGCCCGGTGTTTGTTTGTTCCGTTTGGCTGCTTGGTTCAACATGCATTGATTCCACTGCTAGCAGTTTGATTCTCGTCATTTACCAGTGACAAATGGGTTGGAGTTTGGAGTTGTATCCATTCGCAGGCGTTCTCCATCTGTCTCCAAGAGCAATTCAAAAGAAGCCTGAAGAATGGCCCAGTGCTGTCCTATCCCTTCACCGTTCCGTGACCCGCTTGGGATATGGGCTTATATGGGTGTATCTTAGAATCAGCTTCCGGCTCTCAGTTGATTTCCTGCTTGTTTTCCTCGAAAAACATCCCGCCAGGGGTTCCCAAGCGGTTGTCAACATGATTTTAGGCCCCGTGTAAGGGCGGCGCCAAACGTCAGGGTCGGAGCCCTGTTACCTTTGGCCAAACAATTGAAGACTTTTTTCCCTGTCAACTCAGCAAAGTGTGCAGGGAAACAGCTGGTTTGGAAAGAAGGATGGTTGAAAAGAAAGGGGAGGATATCCGCTCAGGCGCAGAAAAGGATCAAAGGAGCAGAGCGCAGCCTGGAGGTGACAAGCCCCCACTTGCGTCGCAACTGGGCTGAGTCCAGTTTTGAATGCGTGTTTCTTGAGGATGTTTTTGTTGTTTCAAAAAGTATCCAAATACGGATCCATCCATTCTAACCATTCTAAGAATTCCCCTAGTTTGACATGTACCCTTGAAGAGAATCCCGTGGCCGGTGGTTTTTGCAGAGGGGACTTTTTGAGTTCAAATTGGAGGAGCGATAAGTTTAGGGCACACCATGTTGGTGATGGTTTGGAAGTTTAGAGGGGCTTCAAGTCGCTTGAGACGAGTTCGACTTAGTTTGGAAAGATCTCTCAAGTGGCGATCGAATGACACTCTGAACTGCTGGGTGACTCGTTCTGATCCAAACATAAACAAATCGTCTCTCAGACTCTGGTAAAAGTATTCAGCTCTTCTTGCTTTCCTGCCTCTGCTTGAAGCATTTGGATGGCGGCTCCCAGTGCTCCGCAGCCATTGGATCAAGTGATATCCCCTGATCTCAAGCCGCTTCCCACCCCAAAGATCTGAGAAAATGGGAGGAGCTGGATCCACCGCCAGCGCAGTGGCCGCGGGAGTTGGCAAAATGAATGAAGGGGACTTGAAGGACTGGGTGTCGTTTTCAGACACCGTTTTTCAGTTTCAAGGGCTACTAAGCGATTGTTGGGCTAAAGCGTTAACCGTAGGTGGTCGCTTGTCTTGACTCTTAATAAGTATCCACTTGGGCCACCATTTTGGCTCAAGTGGACCTTTTGATCTTTGGTCTTGTGATTTGAAATCTTTCTTTCCCCTCTCTCAAAGCCATGTACGCCCCCGCCTACGCCGGTGCCGCGGTAGCAGAGGCTAAGGCTAAGGCAAAGGCCTCCATGGCAAAGTACCTGGCGAGCCTCGTGAAGAGGGAGGAAGAAGGATGGACCGTTTTGGCTGCCGAGGTCCCTCAGGCACCTGACGAGCGTTTCTTCTCAAGCGCAGATGAGCTGGAGCAGACCCCCCTTATCCCGGCCAAGCGCAAGGCAGAGGATGAGCCGATGGAAGATGCAGCCCCTGGGGTGGCGCAGGTGCCGAAGGCCCTGACACGCCCCCCAGGGGCGTTCCTGGAGCTCCTGAACCCGCCGGAGGAGGACGTGCCCATGGAGGAGCTCCGGGCGCAGGACGAGAAGGAGCTGCCGATGCCCCGGTCCCCCTCGGCTGCAGCCCGATTGGAGGAGACCCGCCTGGATGCCCGGGCAGACGCCAAGTGGCAGAGGCGCCGGGAGCTGATGGCGAAGGTCAAGGAGCAGGCGTCCTCGGAGGAGGATGAGAACCCCGCAGCCCCCCCGCCGGGGGGGAGCGTGTTCACCAAGGCCCTCAAGGTCTCGGAGGGCCTCTACCAGTTCAGCGACGACCAGATGGCGGGCGACTTCCCTTGCTTCGATGCGACCACGGCCACTAGGCTCCGCCGACTGCAGGCCAAGGACGTCCAGCGGCTCCTGCGAGGCTTTGAGGGCCCCCAACTCAAGCAGGGGGGCCTGGAGCGCGTTGTGGAGGCCTTCTACATCGCCAAGATGAAGTACGAGCATGAGGCCCGGCTCAGCACCCCGGGACAGCAGGTTGGCAAGCGCGCTGGCTTGGGGTACGGGGGCCTGGAGAACCGCCCCCTGGGCAAGGTGCCCACATCCTGGATCTGCCCCTGCTGCACCATGCCCTGGGTGAAGAAGGGCGCCACGAAGTGCATGGGGTGCGGCAAGAAGACGGAGCCCATTGACATGGCGACCAACTCGGCCACCCTGGAGATGGCGGGCACGCATTGGCAGTTGACGGTGGATGACCAGGGCAATGCGGTCTGGACGGCGGCCCGGTCCGCAGGTGCCGAAGGCCCTGACACGGACCGGGCCCGCGACCTCAAGCTCAGTGCCTCGGTGGACGTCAGCGAGCTGGCCACCGACCCGATGGCCTGCGAGAACCCGGACCAGGCCAGCTTCTCGGACTTCGTCCCCTCCTCGGTCCGGGCGGTGATCAGGAACTGCCCCATGGAGCTGGACGAGGAGTTTCTGACGGCCCCACCGGGGGAGAGGCCCCCATTGCCAGGCGACAAGGAAGAGGGCCAGGAATGCAGAGCCTTCCACCCGTCTGCGGTGAAGGCCTTCAAGATTCAGACCCGGCTCAACGCCACCACCATCGCCCAGGAGGAGGCCAAGAAGGCGGACCAGGTGGAAGCGGTGGAGCGCTCCGCGGCGGTCCTCCACGAACTTCAAGGGGGGGCCATTGACGGAGGAGGTGATGGAGGCCTGCTCCTGAAGAACCTGGACTTGGACCTCTTCCGTGAGAAGCTGCTGGACAAGCTGGGTGCGGACTGGGGGAGACCCACACCGGAGCTCCTCCAGGCCCAGACCACTGCGGAGGAGGCGAAAGCGAAACACCAAGCCAGACAGGCGAAGGGCTCCCTCGAAACCAGAATGCTCGAGCCCATCGCGCCTCCCTTCAGTGCGTGGCCTAGTGAGGTCCGGGTCGCCATTGAGACTGGGGTCTTCGAGCCGACAACGGCATGGAGGGACTTCAGTATGGACGACCTCACATCCCTCACGGACTCCTACCTTGAGGCCAAGGCGGTCATCTCGCTGGGTAGGAATCCCTTCCCGGCGGCCCTCCTGTCAGATCTGCCGGACCTGGCAGGGATCCCCATGCCAAAGGCGGGGGGCTCTGGTGCGGCGCGCCCAGGTGCCGAGGGCCCTGACAGGCCGCCCACCATCCCCCCAGCCTCGGGCTCTGGCGTGACGAGCTCAGGTGCCGAGGGCCCTGACAAGCCGTCCGCCACCCCGGTGGGCCTGGACACCAAGGACCCGGAGGTGCAGCTCGCGGTCCTGCGCTGGATGATGAGCAAACGGGTCGGAGAGGTCCGTATCTTTGCGGGCCGCTGGGTCCGACGACCGGGCCCGGTACACGTCCCGGATTGGGCGGAAAACCTCACCAAGGTGAATCCGGAGGCGTTGGAGAAGGGTACGCATCCCAGGAACCACCAGGTGGGTGGACTCCCCTGGGCCAGGTACTCCGTTGCCCGACCCTACCCTGGGGACCTGCGATCCATCTTTTGGGCTGCCCCCCACGATCCGGATGAGGACTTCCACTGGATTCGCCAGATCTCGTCCTGGACACTCCCAGGCCTACTGGGGATGTTCGGGCACAGCTACACCCTGCGCCAGCTCTGGGGAGTCTGGGAGTCTCTGCCACTGCTGCAGGGCCCTAGGCAGCGGGGCCCGAAAAACAAGGCCCAGAATCAGACCCGCCTGGAGGGCTGGGAGACCCTGAAGGAGGACGCGCGGTGCTTCCTGAAGGAGGAGGGCCTTCCGTTTCCGCAGACAGGACCGGAGTGGCGATTGGTCTACCGGGCCATGGGCAAGGTCCTCGCGGCCCGGGCCTTCCTCACGGACACCCCGGCGGAGGTGATGCAGCTCCCGGTCCAGGACGTGGCGGACTCCAAGGAGCAGATGATCCTGCGGGCGGTATGCGACGAGCGCATCTCGGTCCCGGTGGAGAGCCTCCAGCAGTTCCCAGAGGTGTACAAGGCCCTCATGGACCGCATTGGAGGCCCGGGGGCCCTGGCGGAGGTGAAGGTCAACTGGCGCTGCAACACGAAGCAGTGGTGGGTCGGCGCAGTCCCCGACTCAGTGGCCCCCTCCATCTACCGCAAGCTCGGCTACACCAACGACATGATCAAGCTGATGGGCCTGGACCCCTCCGCCCCTGGGTGCCGGACAGGTGCCGATGGCCCTGACATCCGCCCCAGGGGAGGCGAGGGCGATGAGGGGATCGTTTACCCCCCCATCACGGCGGACAACGTCCACGGCGTGGTGGGTAAGGACTACCGGAAGAAGAACTATCCGGTGGAGATGAAGCATGTCTTCTGGGCGCACATGGAGTGTGGCCTGGTCCTGAGCTCCGTCACCCCGTGGGAACTCATCCCGAAGACAAAAGGGGAGACCCGGGGGGGCTACATGTGCAAGTATTGTAAGGGGTACTGGCGTGCCGGGGGAGGGGGCACCCGCCTCCTCCAGATCCGGGCCGGCAAGGCCATCTTGCAGCTGGTGTTGGACGAGCCGCCGGAGGGCCTCTACAACCGCTGGGTGAAGGAGCGGCTGGAGTACTACCGCCGGGTGGAGCCCTCGGCCCCGTTGCGGGACGTCTCCATCGTGGACCAGAAGGTGCCCAGGTTCAGATTCAGCCAGACCACCCAGACAGGCCACGTCTCCAATGCCATCTGGGAGCTGATTCTGCGGAATCCGGAGGCTGCTGCGCTCAAGCGCATCGATGACATCGCGAAGGGGGCCGCGTGATGATGCGGGACAACGCCATCTTCCGGCACACCATCCAGGACCGCGGCCATCCGGAACGGATGCGCAGCGCACCCCGGGGGGGGGACAGCTGCCGAAGGCGCTGATATCCCCCCCCAGGGAACAGCGCAGGCCCAGACTTGCACCAGGCGAGGAAAATTGGCGCGGCTTGGGCTGATCCGGGGTGCGCCTTGGTTCCCCTCTCTTGTTTGGTTTTCCCTTTTCGGGGCGGCTCCCTGGGTCCCCCTTTTTCCCCCGTTTCCTCCGTTTCGGGGTTGACTTTCCGGGGTTTTGGGGGGCCCCCTGTTGTTTGGTTGGGGTTTGCACCTAGGGACTAAGCCCCCGGCTCGAGTGGATCATGATGATGTGGAGGCCCCGCCTCCCTTCCCCGTTTGGGACGACCTTCCTAGGGGCGCCAACCGCGCTCCAGTTGATTTTGCATGACCTTGGATTTGCACCAGTGCAGTCGGACGGGGAAATCCTCGTGGCGTGCTGCCTGGAATGGGTCAAAAAGGACAAGGTCGCCAACCCGGATGCGGTGGTCTTTGACCCGCGGCCGTGGACACGGATCGTGGGGCTGGCACCTGACGGCAACCACGTCCTGGTGGCCTCGGACACCTACAACTTGATCCTCGCGAGGATACTCGGCTCCCAACCACAACCGCTGGAGGAGGCGGATTTGGAGCTCGCTACTAAGACCCTGCAACAACTTCTGTTTCGTGCGGCAGGCGCCAGGCAATCGCACACCTATTCTCCACTGGAAATGGAACAGGCCATCCGGGACCGCGAAGAGTGGATCCTTTCCGGATCGATTGAGGCCCCGGATGTCCTGGCAGTGGCCAACAAGTGGCGGCATTGGAAACCAGGGAAGATCAAAACCCAATTGCCGACATCTCAGAGAGCGTTGGAACAACACTTGAGGGCCAGGTGGTTGGAACGCCTCCTGGGATACTTCATCCCCTTCCGGCACCAGATCCCCTACATGCACCAGGTGATGGGGGCCAGGGAGCTGGAGGAGTTTGGCCACCTCTTTGGTGATGCCCGGTTCCGTACCATCCGGGCACACTGCTTGGCCTATGAGGGCATGCGCAAGATCGGCTTCCAGAACCTCCCCTGGACGGCTGGCGACGTCCGGCACCTCATGAACCAGGCGGTCACGTTGGAGGTCACCCCGGCGAAGCTCCAGAAGTGGTGGGGCACTTTAAAGTGGCTCTCCATTAAACTCGGCATGCTCAACGTTGACGAACACAAACAACTCCTGGAGAAGCGGAAAGCCATCCAGGAGACGCTGGTGGACACC